TGTGGGCCCCAGGAGCTGTTCCCTCGCCAGGCAGGAGGCCAGGGCGGGGCTGGGGGCTTCCCCGTGGGGCTCAGGAAGGGTTTCGGGGAGCAGCGTGGTGTGGGGACAAGGCTGCTGGAGTCCCTTCCTTCAGCCCTGGCTCTCCCTGAGCCAGGCCACCCTGTCCCCACAGCCTCGTCCCCACAGCCCCGTGCCCATTGGCTCCTGTGCTGACCTGGGACCTGGGTCAGGCCGCCGCCTGCAGAGGAGCCCGGGCGCTGGGCGCTGCTGCCCCCTGGTGGCGGTGGCCGGGAGGGCCTCCGGGCTGGGATGTCTGCATCCCCCAGGCGCCCAGAGCCTGGTGTTGGGTGAGTGGGTGACGGAGCCGGGATCAGGCGGGGCGCCTGGCACCTGCGCTCAGAGATTAGACTGAATTTCAGATAAAGCAGCCGGTCTTCAGCGGGCCCGGTCTCACCGGTATCTCACGTGCTGACTGCTGTGCCCGGCAGCCCCCGTGTCCGCCCTGGGCCGAGCCTGCACGGCCTGGGCCGGTCAGACGAGGAGGGGCGGCTCCCAGGCACCCCCAGGGCCGGCACGTGAGGGTCATGCCAGTGACTGGCTCAGTCCGGCTCCGGCCCCTCAGCTTGACCCCGCTCAGCCCCCACCACCGGGACCACAGGCCGGGAGGGTCACCTGGACTCAGGCTCCCCCGCGGTGACCCTGCGGCCAGAGGCACGGACTGACCCTCACGACCTGACCCTCCTCATTCTGGAATCAGGATGGGAAAGTCCTCCCATCGCCGGGGACAGCAGCAAGGATCCCCAGGTGTGCTCCCTGCCGGAGCCCGGAGCTCCCTGACTCCCCGAATGACCAGGGGCATGCGCGCCCGCCTCCAGCTCAGGCTGGGACTGTGGGGGCCTGGTCACTGCCAGGCTGGACTCGGCGGGGTCACTGCAGCCCGCCCACGCGTGACCGCAGTCAGGGTGCCATCCCGCAGGGCTGGAGCCCCAGGTGCCCTGGCACCCGCGGCTGCCGTGGGCTGGATGAGGCTGGGGGAGGGCAGAGAAAGGGGCTCATTCCAGCCTCGGTATTTCTCCTTCAGCGAGAAGCCAGGGCAGCAGGACCTGCTTCCTCCCAGGCCCTCCTGATTGGCTCCCTCTCCTGGAATCACTTGGCCTCTTTGCCCGGCATCCATCTGTGAAACCAGAGGCCGAGAGCCCGGCTGGCATGGCTCAGGGGCTGAGCATCAACCTAGGAACCAGGAGGCCACGGTTCGATTCCTGGTCAGGGCACATGCCTGGGTTGTGGGCTTGACTCCCACAGTGAGGGGTGTGCAGGAGGCAGCAAATCAATGATTCTCTTTCATCGTTGATGTTTCTATGTCTCCCTCTGTCTTCCTCCCTGAAATCAATAAAAATGTATATATATATTTTTTTTTTAATTTTTTAATTAATTTATTTTTTAATGTATATATTTTAAAAGCAATGGGTTTAGTCCTAGCCGGTTTGGCTCAGTGGATAGAGTGTCAGCCTGCAGACTGAAGGGTTCCAGGTTCGATTCCAGGCAAGGACACATGCCCAGGTTGCAGGCTAGATCCTCAGTGGGGAGCGTGCAGGAGGCAGCTGATCATGATTCTCATCATGGATGTTTCTATCTCACTCCTTCTCCTTTCACCTGAAATCAATAAAAACATATTTAGAAAAGAAAGAAAAATAATTTAAAAAAAATAAAATCGAAGTGATGGATCTGGCCCTGGCCAATTTGGATCAGTGGATAGAGCATTGGACTTCAGACCAAAGGGTCCTGGGTTCAATTCCAGTCAAGGGCACGTACCTCGGGGCCTTGGGGGGGGTGCATGCAGGAGGCAACCAACAGATGTGTTTCTCTCACATCGATGTTTCTGTCTTTCCCCCTCTCTAAAAATCAGGCAAAATATCCTCTGGTGAGGATTTAAAAGAAAAGTGAGGGCTTTGGGCCATAGGGCTGAGGGGCTAGGCCATTGGCCCACAGCGGGCTCTCTGCTCCGAAGCCAGCTCCCCGTTGGCCAGCTTCCACTGGCTTCACTGAGTCCCGCCTGCCAGCCCGCGCTCTCCCTGCTCCGTGAACGGGAGTCGGCACCTGCAGGGCTGCGGGTGGGCGGTCCCTGCAGAGGCTCCATTACCGTGACTCCCAGCCCACCTAACGGGCGTGTCCATTCCCGCCGCCACAGGCCAGGGCCTCGAGGGGCCCGCCTGGGTCACAGTTCACCTCCGCGGAGCTCTGCTCCCGTCCCCGGCAGGGACCTCCCAGCTCCAGGATCTCCCCATTCCAGGCTGAGGTCCGTCACTCAGAGGCTGGGGAAGTGGCTGGTCCAGGCTGGCACCCCGGGGGTTCTGATAGCAGGGCCTGGCAGGTCACCCTCCACTCCAATGTCCCACCCCGCCAGGCTCCGGCCACTTTCAGAGCACCATCACTACGTGGGAAGAGCAGGCATGTTTTATGTGGCAGGAGCCAACATTTACAGGGACAGTAGTCAGCCCTGGCCGGGTGGCTCAGTAGTTGGAGCATTGGTTTGTGGATTGAAGGTTTGATTCTGGTCAAGGGTTGCAGGCTCCAACCCTACCGCCCCTCCCCCCCCCCACTGCCACCAGGGCACATGCTGGAGGCAACCAATCCATGTATCTCTTTCACATCCATGTTTCTCTCCTTCCTTTCCGTTCTAAAAATCAATGGCGAAAATATCCTTGGTGAGGATTAACAACAAAATGGAGAGCAGACACTGGAAAATCAGTCGGGAGCCGAAACCGGTTTGGCTCAGTGGTAGAGCATTGGTCTGCGGACTGAAGGGTCCCGGGTTCGATTCCGGTCAGGGGCATGTACATTGGTTGCGGGCACATCCCCGGTGGGGGGTGTGCAGGAGGCAGCTGGTCGATGACTCTCTCTCATCGACATTTCTAGCTCTCTATCCCTCTCTCCTCCTCTGTAAAAAATCAATAAAATATATTTAAAAAAAAAAAATCAGTCGGGAAATCTGAACAGGTCCTGCAAGAGGCTAACGGAGCGTCCACTGACCAGAGCGGCCCTCCGCCGATCTGAGCCACCCTGCACGCTCGGCATTTCCTCTTTGGCTCTTCCTAACTTGTTAAACTAGGTTTACACTAAACTCTTTTCGATAAAAATGCTCGGATGGTGGCAGCGTTCCAGCTGGTCTGACCGATGCCAGGCCGTGTTCACAGGTGTTTGCTATAGGACAGGTTACACGGCTTTCCATTCCTGTTCACGGCAAGTTTGGGAGCCGCAGGAGTCTCCCTCACAGGCCCCCTGCACATGCACCGGCGAGTGGAGGCGGCGGGAAGGCGGGAGAGCCACCAGGTGAAGTGGCTGCACACTGGCCCGGCCACAGGTGCTGCTGGAGGTGCCCCTGGAGCGGACCTGCCGCTCCGAGGCCCAGCCCAGCGGAAGGGAGCCGTCTCCTGGGGCGCAGGGCCCCAGCAAGTGCCGGGCAGCACACCACACGCCGGGGGCGTTTCGGCAGGCCACCTGCAAACGGTGTTTTTCTTTTTAAAAACTGGAGCCCAGCGAAACTGGTTTGGCTCAGTGGAGAGCGTTGGCCTGTGGACTGGAAGGTCCCGGGTTTGATTCCGGTCAAGGGCATATATATGTATGAGCCCAAAGTGAGGGACCCACACCCACAGGAGAATCCGACCTTGTAAGTTAGGAGGAGCGCTGGGCCCACGGGGTTGCTGCCTCTGTTTCCTACAGGGACAGCAGTCAGTGGACAAGGGCCCAGCCGCAGCCTCTGAACCAGCCCCGGCCAAACCCATGGGGAGGGTGGAGGCAAGAACATAGCCACAGGGAGGTGAAGCAGCTGCTGTTTCTGCGTGGCCATGGGTGCCTGCTGGGTGCAGCCGCCTGTGCATGGTCTTGGGTGCCTGCTGGGTGCAGCTGCCCATGCATAGGAATGGGTGCTGGGTGCAGCCACCTGTGTATGGGCCTGCTACTTTGGGGGATGTAGTGGTCAGGGAAAAAGATCTACCACAAAGTGCTGCTGGATTTAAGTGGACTGCCAAAGGCTGCACACCACTCCTGACTTGTAGCCACAGCACCTGCCTGGGGTGCTGCCAGGTGGGAAGGGAATGCCCTGGTCTGTGGGCAGGGCTCCCAGGCCTCCTGCACCTCCCCTGGCACTGGCCAGGAGGGAGCAGGCCAGTAGGTCACCAGGAGCTTCGGGCATTGCAGTCCCGGCACTGGGGCCCTTTGGGCGGCTGAGCCACCAGGGCAGACGTGGTCTTGCTCACCCATCCTGTTCCCTCCTACTACCTGAGGCTAGACCCTCCCCTTCCAGGACCCCCGGCTAACGTCACGCAGACTCATGGACTTGACCTAGAAATGCCCAACAGAAAAGTCCTCTGGGGAGACCAGTTTGGTTCAATCGATAAGAGCGTAGGCTTCGGGACTAAAGGGTCCCGGGTTCGATTCCGGTCAAGGGCATGTACCTTGGTTGCGGGCACATCCCCAGTAGGGGGTGTGCAGGAGGCAGCTGATCGATGACTCTCTCATCAATGTTTCTAACTCTTATCTCTCTCCCTTCCTCTCTGTACAAAATCAATAAAATATATATTTAAAAAAAAAATCCTCTGGGGAGATGAAAACATGGATTCCCACGTGTGGAAACAGCAAAGCGGGCGTGTGGACGGACACACTGAAGGCCTCCCAGTGCCTCATTTCCAAGGAACTTTATTGGTAAAACAGGTCACAGCACTCGGCCTCGGCTGGTTCTGCCAACACAAGCTACAAATGCTTGCCTGGCAGCTGAGGGGTGCTCTGCAGTAGCATGTTTGAGAATTGAGTAAAAATACATATAAAACAAATAGTCAAATAGTTTCCATAGGAACACGTAAGTGTGACCCCGTCGCCTAGGCCTTCCACCTTGTTCCCTCTGTGTCACCTGCTTACAAAGACATCCCAACTAGCACTCTTTAAGTTAAGTGGTCCCCATCCTTAAGTCAAGCTACACCGGCGTAACAGCTGCGGAATGGCGTCTACACGTTGACGCGGGCGGACGCGCAGGCTGCGGGGAGCAGCTCCATCCCGCTCTCCCAGGCGCAGGACACGGGCAGGGCGCCGGCGTCCTCCACCCCCACCTCGGGCGGGAAGTCGCGGGTCCGGACCTGCTGCATCAGTTGCCTGCAGAGAGGAGGGCACATTGAGGAACCCGCTCACCCACACCGAGCAGCGCCCACTGGCTTACTCGCGGGCCCCAGCCATGAGGAAGCGCCTCAGTGTTTCTAAAGCTAGCATTTCTCCAGAACCATCTTGTGGGTAAAAAGGGAACCCCAGGTCACATGCACTCATTAACATACTCCTGCCACACAGAATTTAGAAAATATCTTTAACCAGACTTTTCTAGAAATGGTTACGGATCAGGGAAAATCTGAAAATACAAATCACAGTTATTGGAAAGATTTTTCCATCCATTTGTATTCTCCAAATTTTCTAGAGCATTTAATCAAGCAGCCTCATTCCTTTCAATTAGAGTAGGGCAGAGCAGAAATCAAAGAAGATATCTATTCCCCCCCCCCCCCCAAAAAAGTACATTTGCTACAGCCGGGGACTCCTAAACCAGGAAGGGCTTAGGACAGGAGAGGGATGGGGGCTGAGAAGGCAGAGAGGAGGGCTTCGGAGACAGGCTGCCCCTGCCGCTCTGCTTCTAAGTCCCTGGGCGCCCTCAGCGTTTAGGGCCGCCCGCCTGTAGGGGAAGGGGGGCGGGGAGGACAGGTGCGGGGCTCCTGGGAGGGAGCGCCCAAGTCTCTTATCAGGCCCACACACGCGCCGGCACTAACCATGTGGGCCCTGACATGACGTAGTAGATGGTGGGCCGCTGGAAGCCGTTGAAAGTGGAGGCAGCAGCCACGGTGTAGGCACCCATGTTCTCGAAGAGCATCCAGTCGCCCACGTGCATCTCGGGCAGGCCGCAGCGCTCCACAATGCGGTCCAGGCCGTCGCAGGTCGGGCCCCAGATGCTGGAGGAGTAGTGCTTCTCGTCTGGTTTGGGCCTCTGCATGGGAGAAACAGGCCTAGTCACCCCACACGGCCCACCTCTTCCCTCGCACGCACAGCACAGGGGTTGCACACACAGTGCTCGGACCGAGCACACAGCACACAGGTCGCACACACAGCACACGGTTACACACACAGCACGCGGATCACACACACAGCACGCGGGTCGCACACACAGCACGCGGGTCGCACACACAGCACGCGGGTCGCACACACAGCACGTGGGTCGCACACACAGCACGCGGGTCGCACACACAGCACTCGGACGGCAGGTACCTTCTGCAGAAGGGGCTTCACGTGCGCATGATCGTAGAGGATACAGTTAAAGGACCCATACACGCCATCATTCACGTAATACATGAAGGTCTTCTCGCTTGACTCGTCTTCATCTGGAAAGCAGAGCAGTCAGTGACCATCTCTGTACCAGCTTCCACTCACACGTGCCCAGATGCTCCCCTTCACACCTACCGTCCGAGCCCGTCTGTTCCTTTAAGACCAGTTTCTTGGCAATGATGTTGACTGCAAGTGTGAAAGCTGATGCAACGTAGTATCTGCCGGGCTCAGCTATGAGTGTCACTCCCGAGTCGGAGGGAAAATACTTGTCCAGGGCTGGGTTGATTACACTGGTGATCTACGGAGTGAGACAGACAGACAGACAGACAGACAAGAGCAGTCAGCCATCAGGGGAGCCAGGCGGCGGAGCAGTGCTGCGCTATGAGAGGTTATCACCAGGCAGCAGCCAAAACTAACTGCCCAACACCAGCCTGTTTCACTCGGAGTCCCCTCCTGACACCTTCCTATCATCTGAAGATGTTATAGGGACGATTTTATCAAACGATAAACAAATGTATTACTTACTGAGGGATCAGAGTGTCCCCAAACGTTTTTATGTAGCAAATACGTGCCAACAGGATAAACTGTCAGCCTCACAGAATTTGAACAAGTAACGATGTGGATATTCTATAAACTTCAACACCATTTAATGGGGCTGAATTTCCTAAGTGACTAAACACAATGTTTTAAGAGGAAATGCGAGCCCTGGCAAAGCACGTCTGGTACAGAGATGCACAGCAGGTCTGTCATGGCACCTCGTTCAGATGCTGTCAGGCTGGTGAGCAGCCACAGGAACGCGCCCTCAGGTCTGTCGCTCAGCCAAGGGCAAAGCAGCTGTTTGTTACAAGCTGTCTCATTTAAAGTCACAGAACCTGCCGAGACCGGTTTGGCTCAGTGGATAGAGCGTCGGCTTGGGGACTAAGGGGTCCCGGGTTCGATTCCAGTCAAGGGCATGTACCTTGGTTGCGGGCATATCCCAAGTGGGGGGTGTGCAAGAGGCAGCTGATTGATGACTCTCTCTCATCGATGTTTCTAACTCTCTATCTCTCTCCCTTCCTCTCTGTACAAAATCAATAAAATACATTAAAAAAAAAATTAAAAAAAAAAAATAAAGTCACAGAACCCGTTAATGACATAAGTGAGCACTTGCTGTACTGAAGTCAGTGTGTTCTCTCATCACCATAGCAACATTTCTTAATTGTTTCCCAAGACATTGTAGAAACTGACTCACGCTTTAGAAAACCGAAGAATATTAAGTACAGTTTTAAACAGCACAGAAGTCGCTCAGGATATTTATTTTCCTGTTTGTTAGTCCCTCTGATTATCAGCTAACACGTAGGTTGTGAAGTAGCCCACCAGGGACTTGTTAAAGCAGCTACCACATGTCAGTTTTGCTATGATTTACCTCCTCAAATTTAAGCTTTGCATCCTCAGATCCAGGAAAGCCACCACCGATATCCAGCAGGTACATGTTGAAGCCAACCTCAGCCTAGAGGCAAGAAAACCGGTCAAACAGCGAGTGTGTAACAGGCCATGGAGAAGGGAGGAGGCCGAGGCCTCGCAGCGTGGACTCCTACAAAGGTCAATGCGAGGCCTGACACTAGACCTGCGGCCCCGCCCGGCGCACTGAGGCTCCGTACTCACCCCCATGTCGAAGACACAGCGGGCATCGGAGATGGCCTGCACGAAGGTCTCCGGGTCCGTGCAGCCACTGCCCACGTGAAAGCTGGGGAAAAGGAGAAGAGGCTCTTTACCGCCCCGGGGGGCTGTTCCCAGCGGGACGGACTGTGAACCGCACACTGTCTGTCCGTATCTTACCCCCCCCCCCCCCCACACACACACACACGCGCGCGTGCCCTTACCTCACGCCGATGACATCGATGCTCAGCTCCTTGGCCCGCTCCAAGAGAAGCCTGCTGGTCCTGAGTGTGGCACCAAACTTAACGCTGAGACGACAGACTGCTTTGGAGTCATCCGTGGCGATCCGCAGAACCAGCCTGGAAGCAAGAGGAGCGCCGACTGTACCGGGCCGCCGGGCACATGCTAACCACAGGCTCCTCGGCTGGGGCGGGGGGGGGGGGGGGACACACACACACACACACACACACACACACACACGGCTTTCTAACCAAGGGGTGTGCGCCATTCCCCACGCTGCCTCTGCCGGCCCGGGACCTCACGGACACAGGCCGCGCCTGGCCATCGGTCCCCTCCCGCCCGCCCGCTCGGGCAGGAACTCACTTTGCCTTGGGATGTGCCCTGGCAACCTTCATCAGCTCCACTTCGCTATCGAAAGTCATCATCTGGACTCCGTTACTGGCGGCGTATTTGATCTGAGACACTTGTTTACAGGGGTTTGCGTAGATGATCCTCTCGGGAGGCACCCCGAGACTCTGCACCAGCTGTATCTCCGTCTGAGGAGGAAGAGAGGGCGCGCTGTACAGAGGCAGCCAATCGTGCCAGAAACAAGCATGGGAGCTGTCCCTTCACGCCCGACGCCCTCTGCGGCCCAGGAACAGCGCTCACCTTGCTGGCACAGTCAAAGCCCGTCCCGACGGCAGCCAGGGTCTTCACGATGGTCCTGCTGTCGTTGCATTTGACTGCGTAGAAGGGGGTGACCCTCGGGAGAGCCTTCAGCCACCGCAGGTGTTTCTTTATTACGTCTCCCAGGTCCGCCACGTAGAAGGCGTCCTTATCGTCCTACAGGAGGGCACAGGGCTCATTCGCCGCCCACATGTGCGCCCCTCGGCCTCCTCCCCGGCACCCTCCATCCACGCACCGCCGTGACTGTCACTATTATTCTGGGCCAGCGGTAGGCAAACTCATTCGGCAACAGAGCCAGATATCAACAGGACGACGACTGGAATTTATTTTGAGAGCCGAAAACCAACTTCTGCGCATGGGCCCGAAGTTCAATGGCACTGTACGTGCACCGCACGTGGTGTTTTGTGGAAGAGCCACACTCCAGGGGCCTAAGAGCCGCATGTTTGCCAACCACTGTTCTGGATGACCCGCAGCCAATTAAACTCTCCCCTCCCCAACGGGACACCAAGCGCCCTCACACAGGCCCACGGGAGCCCCCGGGCCGCACGGCCCTCGTACACTCACTGAAGAGGAGACTTCATTGATTTTCTGGTCCAGGATGTCCTTGGCAGTAAAGCCCTCATCGAGGAAATGGCAGTCAAACTCTTCATTCCTAACGGTGTTCATGTTCCCGGTTCCTGGACGTTCCCAAAGGCTACACGCTGCGAAAGGGCGGAGACACTCGCTCATTAAATTACACTAAATACTTAGTCATTCTGAACGAGAACACTTACAAGGAAAAAGAGGAGCCGGGACTCGGGAAGCACTGCCAGCTGTTCAGGCGCTCTCCAGGAACTCCCAGTCCACAGACGGTCCTCCCCGCAGCAGCGGGAATGCCTGGAACACAGGTGCGCTGCCCCTTAGGACACATCGAGTGGACACACCGGGCCCTAACAGCGCCCACCCAGGAAGCAGAGCTGCTCAGACACCTCACAGCTCCTCTGGGTTTGGGAATCCCTCACTCCTGGGAATAAGTTACCAACCCACAAACCTCTACAGCATCCGAGGACACCAGACTCAACACCTCCCATTATTTTTAAGCAGCACTGAAATCCCACAGAGGATTTTAAATTTAAAATAAACATTTTAAATTATACAGAATCACGTCATGGAAACATCTAGGGATCAACAGCTCAAGTTTTCTGGGAATTTTATGAGCTAATTTTATTTGCAGGCTGGGCATGTATTTTTAATATATTTTATTAATTCTTTACAGAGAGGAAGGGAGAGAGATAGAGAACTAGAAATGTCGATGAGAGAGAAACATTGACCAGCTGCCTCTTGCACACCCCCTACTTGCACATGCCCCTGACCAGAATCGAACCTGGGACCTTTCAATCCGCAGACCGATGCTCTACCACTGAGCCAAACCGGTTTCAGCATGGGCATGTATTTTTAAAAACTGCATCTTCAAATCAATATAATATAGTGGCTGTATCTGGTCAGAAAAACCAGCGTTTTTGGACTAGTGCTGCCTCCTAAATGAGCAATTCCGGGAATCCCCACAGGCACAATGATATCTGCAATATTCGCTTAAGTAAGCAGCATCACGACTTATGGGTAAGCAGAAGCTGCTCACAATCAGAGCCGCTGTCCTTGGACTTGACCGACTATGACCGGGTGAACCCAGGTCTGAATGTCACTTATCTAAACCGCCGCACTTCCTGCCGGGGCAGCCCGCGGGCAGGGGCCGGGCAATGGTCCGAGGCCAGTTCGCTCTGGCACGGGGATGTGAGGCCCAGGGGGACGGGCCTGCCATCCACCCGGACCCGGCCCGGCAGAGCCGGTTCCAGCTCCCCCCGCGGAGCGTGACCGCGGGGCACCCGCCGGCCAGAGCACAGAGCATCAGGGCGGAAGCGGGGAGGCCGGGTCGGCTGGGGTCGTTAACTGTCTATCGTGCAGGCAAAGCTCAGGCTTAACCCGGCCGTTTCCTAAACACACGGCTGCCCCCGGCCTCCGGGAGCGGAGCACCTCCCGGCCGCTCGGGCGGCCCAGTTCCCCACGCGGATCCCCTTAGCCGCAGGCGGCGCCTCCCTGCCAGCCCCAGGGCTCTGAGGAGGGGGGCCGCTTCCAACCGGAACCGCCATCACACCCGCCAGCTCTCCGCCCGCCGTTTGGACCCGCACTGTCCTCCCGCGGCGGCCTCCTCTGGGAGCCTCGGGGCCGCTCCTGCGTCCGACCTGCGCCGGCCCTGCGCCCGGGCCGCCCCGCTGTCACTCAGGCTCCTAACGGCCTCCGGGCCGGCGGGGCTCTGCCGGGTCCTCTGCTCGGGCCCGAGAGCAGCACACGCCGACCGACCGACCGGCCGACCGGCCGGCAAACCCCGCCCGACGCCGAGCCCGGCCCCGCAGCGGCACCTGCGCCACGTGGGTTTGGGGAGGAAAACAGCGGCTGGAGGAGCCGCCGGGCCCCCGGCAGGAGCCCTCCGTCCGCGGTGCCCGGGGCCGAGGCGGGGCCCGCAGCCCGGCGGCCGGGGCGGGAGGCCGAGGCCCGGACCGCCGCGCCGCGGGGAGCGCACGGCCGCACGGGCACCGGGACCCCGATCCCGCGGGACCGGCCGGAAGGCCAGGGGCCGGCTCTGCGGACCGTGTCCCCGCGGGGCCGGGCGCGGGTGTGTCCCGCCGCCGGCCCGGGGCGCAGGGACACGTGGCCGCCCCGCCCGCCCGGCCCCGGCGCCGGCGCCCCTCACCTCGCAGCGCCCCGCCTCACGCCGACCCCATGGAGCCGCCGCCGCCGCCGAGCGCGCAGGACCGCCGGCCGCCCCGTCAGCCGCCCGCCGGCCGCCCGCGCCTCGCTGCTCCCGCGGAGACCGCCGGCCGAGTGGCGCCGGAGCTGCAGAGGGGCGGCGGCGGCGGAGGCGGAGGCGGCGGGACTGACAAAGCCGGCGGCCGCCGCGCCGCTACTTATAGCGCCGCGCGTGTCGTCATGGAGACGCACCAGCTCAAACCAGCCGCGATCGGTTCCGGCCGGGCGTCCTCCCAGGGAGGGCGGAGCGCGGCGGCGGCCAACCGGGGCCCGGAGGCGGGGCGGGGGCGGCGGGCGCGGGCGGCCAAGCCTCAGCGCCGCCCCGGGCCGCCCGGCCCGCCCCCGGCCTCGCGCCGCTCTGGGCCCCGAGGCAGGTCCGCGCACGCGCACGCCCCGCAGGCCCCGCCCCTCCGGCCCCGCCCCCGCCGGGGGCCTCGCGCCCTCTGCCAGGTCCGCGCACGCGCACGCCCCGCAGGCCCCGCCCCTCCGGCCTCGCGCCCTCTGGCCCTGCGAGCCTGAGGCGGGTCTGCGCGCGCGCACAGGCCGCCGGGACCCGCGGCGCTGCCTCGGTCCTGCGGGTGCGGCCGCCCGCCGCTCGCCGGGCGTCAGCCTTGGGCCCGCCCGCGCCACGCGACGCTGCCCTTCCCCTTGGCGCCCACCGCCCCTGTGCCCTGGGCAGGGAGGGAATGGACGCGGCGGGCCACGTGGACCCGCCGCCCCATCCCCGTGGAGGGGCCTGGCGCGGACTGGCCACCCGCAGGGCCGGGACCCGAGCCTTCCAGCCCGGGGCCGGCGGCGGGGGCGCGCCGAGTGCCCCCGGCTGCTTCCAGCCGGACCGGCCAGGGGCCAGGGGCCAGCGGCCAGGGGCAGGCGCCCGAGGGGGGAGTGAGGGCCGCAGGCCGCCGGGCCCCTGCCCTCCCTCCGCCCCCTGCCCTCCGCCCGCGGCCCGCGCGGCCGGGCACCCGAGGGCCCGCACCGCGGCCGGCAGGGAGCGCCCCGGGCAGAGGCCTGGGAGGGATGCCGGTCCGAGAGCGGAGCCGGGGCCTCCAGTCAGCACCGGAGCCCCAGGTCTGGGCGGGCCTCGCGGGATGTCCGTTAGAACGTAGCCCAGCGTCTGCAGATCCGCCGAACCGGGCCAGCGTGACAGGAGCCAGCTGGGATACGCGGAGCCAGTGCGGCCCGCGCAGAGAGGACGGCGCACAGGGCGTCCCTCCCACGACGCGGACACGCTTTGGATAACCGCAGAGGCAGTGACCTTAACATACAGCTCATTGTTAGAAGGCAGCCATCAGCTGGGAAAGGGACACCCTGTGTAAGCAGTGGCTAAGCCCGGCCCCCCCCCCCCCCCCCCAGGGAGGCAGAGTTTAGGACTGAGTCCCCGCCGCCTCGTTTGCTACAAGTAAAGGAAACTCCCTCATGTCAGCCGCCTCTGGTGTTGGACTAGAGTCCCCAAGTGGTGGGGCCCCTGAGCTGGCCACCCCATTGGGGGACAGCACCTCTCTGGGTGTGCACGGTCCCACTGCTGGCCCAGGGAGGGGCTGAAGGGACTTTTAAAAATATGTTTTTATTGATTTCAGAGATGAAGGGAGGAGGAAGGGATGGAAGCATCACTGATAGGGAATCAAACCCTGACCTCCTGGTTCATAGATTGATGCTCAAGCACTGAGCCATGCCAGGCCGTGAAAGTTTTTGTTTTTTTTTTAAATATGTTTTATTGATTTTTTACAGAGAGGAAGGGAGAGGGATAGAGAGTTAGAAACATCGATGAGAGAGAAACATCGATCCGTTGCCTCCTGCACACCCCCTTACTGGGGATGTGCCCGCAACCAAGGTACATGCCCTTGACCAGAATCGAACCTGGGACCTTTCAGTCCGCAGGCGGACGCTCTATCCACTGAGCCAAACCAGTTTCGGCTAAAATTCTTTTTTTAAAAAAAGTCTTTATTGTTGAGAGGATCACATATGTCCCTCCAACCCCACCCTCACCCCACCCCCTCTTAACCCCATAGGTCAATTCTTGATTCAAGAGCCAGGTGGTCTGTCTGCCCCTAACCGCAAACATGCAAAACCCTGCCACAGGCTGCACCTGGCTCCGCGGAGGCCGGGCTGTGCCAGATGGTGCGTCTGACTCAGATGGGGAAACAGAGGCCAGGGAAGGAGGCAGTGCTGCTCCCCCCAGGCAGGCCCTGCGCCGTTGGGCCGGCTCTCAGTGGCCTGGCTGTGGGCTGAGTCATGAAGCCGGTTACTAACCTGGATTTGAGAATGGAAAGCTGGGTGACTGAGCCGGGCCTCACTCAGAGGCTCCGCCCACGCCTTTGCGTATCTGTCCTCCCCACGCTCTTCCCTCCAGCGGGAGCAGCGGGTCCCCTAAACTCTACGGGGCCTCCAGACACCCAGAAGTTGCCCAGACGCAGAGATAAGCTTTTTGGGTTGTTTTGTTTTGTTAATCCTCATCCGAAGATATGTTTCCCATTGATATTTAGAGATAGCGGCAGGGAGGGAGGGAGAAGGAGGGATGGAGGGAAGGAAGGAGGGAGGGAGAACTTCCATGTGAGACGCATCATTTGGCTGTCTCCCACACGTGCCCCCACGGGACCAGGGATCAAACCTGAGACCCTTCAGTACCCAGGCCGACGCTCTAACCACTGGGAGACACTGGCCAGGGCTGGAGATGACACGCTAGTGTTTGCTGCAGGAGTAAAGGAAGTGAGCAAAACCATCAAAAAGCATGTGAACCTTGCCAATGGGACCTGCATCCTCAGTCACCCCACCTCAGTTCTGGGACCAACTGCAATTTTGTCAGCTTTTCTGGGCACCAGCTCCCAGGAAGCCCGGGCTCGGTTCCCCTGTCTGGGTCTCGGGATCTTTCTGTGAGATGCTGG